GAGATGAGAAATTGTTTTTTCATAATGTATTCAAAAGGCAACCAAACGATGAACTTTACTTTTCATCTTCCCATGCAAAAGACTCTCAAATAAATTTGTACTCTCTGTCATAGCTACCACTTCACCTACATGTAAACTTTCCAAATGTTTATTCATTCGTTTAACAAATGTTTATTAAGTGCCAGGCATTGTGCTAAGCTCCAGAGAGTTCTAGTAATATAGATGATAGCCAATGACTCGCAAACACCACTTGAAAAATATCTCTCTTTAAGACTTCTATTTTCTATGTTAGGATATTATGGTATCTTTACAAACTACATAACAGCCATGTGGCTCTTCAATTCAGGATGACTGTTAAATCCACCAATGAAGTCAAGTAACAACCGCATAGTATGTGTGTGATGTTAGAGAAAAGTATAATTTATCACTGTAATTAGTACTATTTAGACAAATACTCTCTCACTTGGCTGAAAGCTACCATGCTATCTACCCTAAGCTACAATTAGACTTAATTTTTATCAAGCACTGAGACTATGTATAAAATTGTGCTTCCTAATCCCTCCTCAGATAATGCTTCCGTCTTGATTTAGTGGTAAGGAATTCTAATGTTCAAATGTGGAAAAGATTTCTGTCCTCCCACCACAACCTAGCAGATTTTTCTATAAATTCCCAGCCATTAATTAAGTACTGAGTTTCCAGATTTGATTAAGCCAAAGCCAAAAGTAAAAAACAAATAAAATCACAGGATCCCAGAACTGAATATATGATCTAATTTGAATTCTTTGCTTTAAAGATAAAGAGACTGAGATCCAAAGAGGTTTATGGTCATGTTCACGGTCACACAAGTTAACGACAGGGCTGTGGTTAGGATTTTCTGACTCCTCTCCCAGTGCTCTTTTAATACAAAATGAAACTGTTATAGGAAATTAAGAAAAAATTCTGAGACAGAAAGAAATTACCTTTAATTACAAACATGAGTGAACCATAACTCAGATGCACTTAATAAGCTCTAAATTAAAATTATGCTTTATTAAAAAAATAAGAAGTAAAGGAAGTCAAGGCTGAAAAATGATAGGTCACTCTTTTGGGATATGGCCTTCATATAGGTCAATCCAGTTATAATCAATTTTAAGAGCCTGTTCCAATTACTTTTTAGTTCTGGAATTATTTTGTATTGAATAATACCTGAAATTAGTAGAGTCCTGGCCAAGGGAGAAGAAATCTTTCTGATTTACAGAGATTTTTGTTGTAATGGGTTTTGACCAGGGAACAGTAAATTGAAGCAAGACTCCAGACTTTCACCTTAATTTCCTATATCTCCAATTTTGACCTCTTCCCTTCCTACTTATACGAAGTAATAGAGACTAGCATTCCCATTTCAACTTCACTTTTATTTTTCAAAATATAGTTTGTCTCGTTACTAATTCTTCAACATTCCTGTATTTCCTGTATTCCCGTATAAAATTCTGTTAGAGAATTGGATGGTAACAATTTTACTAATATCCAACTCATAAAATATGTAAATGTTGGAAGACTGACTTTCATAGAACTTTAAAAAGTAAGTGGTGCTTGAATGACTAAGGCATTATGGAGTGCTATGTCTAGCCAATTCCTCTATGAAATTAAAATGGATTTGCAAGGCAGAAAGACAGACACTTTGGGCTTCCATCAGTACTGGACAGTAAGAATAAAAGAAACATGCTGTATATTTATAGGCCTTGTGTTCTGGTTCAGCAGGATGTTTAAGTAAAAGAGCTAAAAACAACAGATCGAGATGGTTACTTCTCAAACAGAAAGTGCATTTGTAGTTTCTATTAAAGGGAAAATAGTTAAATGAAGGATGGGACATATTTAAATGTTCTTAAAAGTCTATTATACTAGGAAAATACAAAGATAGATAGATGACAGAGAGCTACAGGTATCTATAGTGAACTCAGTGAGCAATTCTATATGGTGGTTACTAAATCCCAGCCATTGTTCTGTGCACTTTTCACATCCTAATCTGTCTCATCCCCACAGCCACTTTTCGGATGAGTACAATTATTACTCCCATCTTACAAACAAGGACGCCAAGGTACACAGCTAGGTAAGGAACAAAGCCAGACTTCAAGTTCAGTCAACCTCCAGAACCTGTGTGTTTAAGCACTGCACGGCAATGGCTTGGGCATTGCCAGCTTCGTTGAATTTATCTTTGAGCCATTTTGATACCAAAGTTTAAAGACACTTATACCTCAATTAAACAATTTCATTATGAAATCCGTCAATTCCGTGATTCTAATATCTTGAGGAATACACCATTAATTAATTTATTTATTAATAAGGTGATTCCATAAATACTTAGCCTCCTCTGCGTATAGAAAACTCATATTACAGAACACTACTGGTGCTCTCGCACTTTGGGGCTTTTGTCAGTGGAAAACATGGCTACGTATAAACTAAATAACTTTCATACTCCCACTGTCGTAGATGGTATATAGTTGGGAAGAGGCTCCGCATGGCACAGGGCCTACATTGATGGATGCTCTCCCTCAAGCTCATGCACAATTCAGCAGGTAAACCTTGTCAGTTCCACAAACTGATAATCTCTCAAGTCCGTCTCCCTTCTTTCTTTTTTGGTCTGTTTTTTTGGGGCTTGGGGGGTTCTTTTGTTTTTTTCTGTGTTTTTGTTTTGTTTTGTTTTGTTTTGAGAGAGAGGGCGAGCAAGGGAGGGGCACAGGCAGAGAGGAAGAAAGAATCCCAAACAATCTCCACATCCAGCACAGAGCCCAGCACAGGGCTCCATCTCAAGACCCTGAGTTCGTGACCTGATCCGAAATCAAGAGGTAGGTACTTAACCGACTGAGCCACCCAGGAGCCCCCATCCCCCTTCTTTCCAAACCTCCTGTAATGACCACTGCTAAGGTTCTCAGCATCTCAAGAGTCCCTCCAGCCTCAAACTCCTCCAGTGTTGTCTGTGGGGTCACTGCAAGGGCATGGGTGGCTCAGAGAGGCAAAACAACTGAGAATCATTGGGGCCCTCATGCATCGAGCTTCATTAGCCTCTCAAGTCATCACGAATAAACATAAAATCCATGTTATAAAACAACAACAACATATGTTTACTATTTAAATACAGCTTCAAGACAAAGGCTTTAGCCACCCTTCAAATCAAGTTGCCATCCCAGCCTTCTGGAACCAGCACTGACCTTCCTCCACTATACTTAATCAATATTCCTTATAAAATGCAAATCAAGTCATGTTATCTCCCTTTCCTCCCTTCCCCGAGTCTTAAATTCCTTAAAACATCATAGAAGGGATTTCGTGATTTGGCTACCTTCCCTCCTTCCCTCTAGCACTTGCCCTTACCCACCCGATCTAGCCAGATTAAATAACCTGCATCTCACTGAACATACCTTGCTCTTGCAGGCCTTCGTGCTTTGCCCATGCTACTCCATATCCTAGAATTGTCCTCCCCACTCTTTGGATAACTGATTGAAATTTGGCTTAAAAACTAAATCTTCGGATCCCTGGGTGGCGCAGCAGTTTGTCGCTTGCCTTTGGCCCAGGGCGCGATCCTGGAGACCCGGGATCGAATCCCACATCGGGCTCCCGGTGCATGGAGCCTGCTTCTCCCTCTGCCTATGTCTCTGCCTCTCTCTCTCTCTCTGTGACTATTATAAATAAATAAATTAATTAATTAAAAAAAAAAACTAAATCTTCTTTATGAAGCCCTCCTTTAAACTTCAGAGACCTCCCCTCCTTTACAAAAATTTTTCCCCTGGGGCACCTGGGTGGCTCAGTGGTTTGGTGCCTGCCTTTGGCCCAGAGCATGATCCTGGAGTCCCAGGATCAAGTCCCATATCTAGCTCCCTGCATGGAGCCTGCTTCTCCCTCTGCCTATGTCTCTGCCTCTCTCTGTGTCTCTCATGAATAAATAAATAAAATCTTAAAAAAAAAAAAAGAAAAAAAAAAAAGGTTGTCCTCTCCAATGGGCCTTCTATTTAAAAAAAAAAAAAAGAAAAACTTCCCCTAACCAAAGAGCTAGGACCATCCTCTTCTCTGAATCCCCCTAACATCCTAGGTATAAACACCTTTTCTTTATTTAGTTCTATCACCATACACTTCAATGCTCTTCACACAGCACCATTTCCACCTTGTGCTAGTGAACAAATCGCCTTGATCTTGTTTATCATTGCATCCTCCTCACTGCTTCACACAATGCCTGGCACACACAGTTAATATTCAACGAATGTTTAACAAGATGGAATTCAATTCTTTATACAATATAGTAATAGAGATATGTACACTAATAGAAAATATAAATGATACTGAAAATAATGTTCACAGAAAATATCTGACCGTTGTGATTTTCATAATAAAATCTAAAATATTAAATTTACACCCTAGGCACATAATGAAATTTGGACTTTCGTCCCTCACTTGAGTACATGCTTAAAATCACATTTTTAGAAAGTGTAGTGGTTCTAAATCAAGAACCAGCTGATGCATGCTATATTTGTTCTGTTTATTTCATCGTTAAGGAGAACATCTTTTCCTCTTAACTATAATAAATAAGTAACTAAAGTTGTTCGTTTTCATTTTTCCTTTCCCAAAGTCATTGCCACATGTGGAATGAAAGGCATTTTCATTATCCTTGAACAAGATGGAATATCCTATTTGTGTGATTTGGGGCAGTTTCTTATGAAGACTGCCAGCCTCTTGTGAACATTATGATTTTCAGATGTGTAGTGTGCATTAAAGAACAAGAAGATATCATGAAATATTAGTGACAATTACAGGCCAAACAAGGAAACTGGACAATGTTTCCAAGGGTTGTAAGGCTTGTGGAAGTGAATGTTAGTCAAAGTAGAGTGGTGATTTATAACCAATTTCCGTCTTCAAATTACGGCCCAAGTGAAAGAAAACGGAATTTAGCACAGCATTCTGGTGTATCATTTCCTGCAGCAGAAACACCCACCCAGACCAGTGCCCTCACTAGGTACAGGACAAGAAGCAGCAACCTGAGGGAAGCCCACAGGCTCGCAGGGCTACTGGCTGGCTCTTTGTCACCAAATGCAGCAGGTTGAATGCAGACATCACTGTGATATCTTCACCAACAGAACGAAAGGCAATGAACAGGGGCAAGAGCTGAGTAGGAGAAAAAAGAAAACAAAAACAAATTAAAACATCACAAATGTTAAACACATTCATCGCACAATTGATGGTTACGGTTTTCTCAGGAACTGAACACATACACACAATGGTGATCAAGTTCAAATGCCTATTCTCCAGGTGGTGAGCTTCCTTTCAACCTAGACTTATTTATGTCTCATGAATAAAATACACACGATATAAACGTGTAATCTGTGAACACATTTTGCAAGAGGTCAGAAAAGAGACCAAGTTTAAAACATTTGAAAAGAATTAGCATTTACGGAGGGAGCTCGTACCACGTGACAGGAACTGTCTGGGGCCCAATATACACATTGTATCATTTAATTTTTACCATAAACCTAGGGGGTAGGTTTTTATCCCCCAATAATATGTGAGGAAATCGAGGCTCAAAGGTCCAAGGGCACAAAAGCAAATAACCAGTGGAAAAAAGGATTAGAAACCTCTGCTGTATCTCCCTGCAAAGCCACGTCCTTTCCTTACACCCTGCTGCCTCCTTCCAGCAATTATTTGTAAATCTCTCTCCCTGGAGAAGACTGTAAAATATTGTAAGATTAAGAGATTCCTTTTGTTAGAGTTTCTTTTTTCTGGTCCCTTTTTTTTTTTCTTTTTTTCCTGGGGAACCAAATAAACTACAAACAACTAGGAGACTTCACTTTAGAAAGTGCAGTGTGAGCAAAGCACAGCAAATGGGAACTTTCGTTCCATTTTACCATTTATAATTCCAAGGTCAACTGTGCGAATAATATTTACAGCCTCACCTTTAGAAGAGTAAAAATGTTTTGGAAGGTTTGGGAAATGAGACAATGTGTTAGAATCTCAAAATTGTGTTAAGTGTTAAAACTTGGGGAAAAAAATAAAAATAAACTAAAATAATAAAATAAAATAAAATAAAATAAAATAAAATAAAATACCTTGGAGAAGAGCTGTTAGGATTTTCTTAAAGTTCTGTACAATCTTTCAATCGCTAAAGCTTAACTTTGAATGACAATGGAAAATACTCATGCTGACTTGTAATAATCTATTTTAAATTGGGATTATAAGTGACCTTAACCACTAAATGTCCAAAAATGGATGTAGAAGGAATGCCTTATTCATTTCCTGGCCCTCCCCCCCCCCCCCCCGGAATAAAAGTCTGTTCCTGGTCTCTTCTGACATCTTTGAAGAACAAACACATAATAAACAGGAATAGATTTTCCCAAATCACTCTGGAGTGTATCTGACGGAGAGCTGCTTGTATTAACATACCTGAACTCTGACTTCTCCAAACTAAACTCAGGACAAAACTAAAACATTTTTGTGTTACCGACTGGAGACAAAAGGGAGGAAGAGGGAAGGTGAGTGTCACGGTGCACAGCCCCCGAGAACCACTCAACATAAATAAACATGTCATTTTCACGAGTGACTGCAGAGCCGGGGAAAGAGCATTCCTTTGGAGCAGACTACTGGCTAATAAAAGATCAAAGGTCTATACCTCACAACGCTATAAATAAAAATGTATTTTCTTTTCCTTGTGACCTTCTCCGAGAGGAATGGAGTGCGCACGATAAATGCAATCACTTAGCCAAGCTGCAGCCTCCTCGCGCTCCCCCGGCTGACCATAAAACGTCCTCCTGTCCTGTTTCATCAGCGGCTGTACCAGGCGGTCTGCGCGCCTCCCGATGGCCTGGGCCATCTGGCTTGTGTCAAAGCCGGCGCACAGGAAGAAAGGGAGTGATGTCACTCCACAGGTCAGGCAAAGAACAAAGATGCATTCTGCAATTAAAAGCCGAGAGCCTCAAATACCAGGGGCCCCCGCCAGCGTGATATGCCTGCGTGATTTAGCATCCAGGCGCCTGCACCGATTCCTACCCAAATGGCCAGGGCTCCATCTAGTGGCACCTTACTTTTGCCCGGTCTCCTTTCAAAGCGAACCCAGACGGAGCTGGCAGTGGGCACCAAGGATGCATGGCCGCCCAAAGGATGGCTAGCTGGCAGGGCAGCTCGCCCTTTGCACTCAAGGCCGCAAAAAGCAGGATTCATCCCAACACTGTCTGTGTCAAAATCCTACAGGGCACACGGTTCATAGGCTAAGCTTTGCTATTACCCTAATTTTTTTTTTGATGCTTTAACCCTAATGATAGCAAAAAAAGAAGCTAATTTTGCAAAATGCATGTAAGGTGACCTCACTCACACACCCCTCTGGAGATACGTCGCTAAAATGTGAAGTGAGAAGCAGTTCTAAGAGATGCACGCATGCGTCTGGATGCCTCAGTGAAATCCGACTCACAACCTCATACACGTCAGTGGAACAAGACAATCGTAGTTATTGATATGGCTCTCATATGGGAGGCGCGAGCAACCCTTCTCTAGAACAAGGAAAGAAATGTCTTTATGCTGCAATGGTTTAACGAAATTAATTTTTAATGTTTTTCCACTTACGTTTGCAGCAAATGAAACGAAGCATTTGACAAAGAGATCTAAAATACAGAACACATTTGCACGAGAAAGTGGGCTTCACAGTGGATGTGTGTGAGTCGGGGGTCGGATGGCCTGGGTGGGACCCTGGCCCTGCCCTAGCAGCTGTGTTACCTTGGGGGACCGGCTGACGCCCTCAGGGCCTCAGTTCCCTTAACTCTACAGTAAATGACTTGGTAAAAAAGCCCTTGGAACAACTCCTGGCACATGCTATATGCTCGGCAAATGTTAGCTATTATTATTATTTACATGTACAAACATTTGCTATATTTTTGGATTATATGAATTAGAGATTTCTAACCATCCATTTACACCCAATCCTAGTTAGAGGTAGCAGGCCAGTCTCTGAAGACAGACTCTATTTTAGGCCACAAAACTTACTACTCTTTGATGTATTTCCACAGTAAATATTACCCTAGTGAAAATGGTAGGATAAAGATATCCTACGGATAACCGTTGATGAAACTTTTGGCGTGTGCCAGGCACTATTCTAAGCACTTCAATTTATTAGCTCCTTTAATCCTCACGGCCTTATGAGGTACATACTATTACTTTCCATTTTTAGACGTAGACACTGAAGCATAGGGAGGTTACGTAATTTGACTAAAATCCTACAGCCACTGAGGACCAGGGCCCTTAAGTAACTGGACTGAAGGATTTAACAGATTTTGACACAGGCCATCTAGTTCCAGGACCCAGTGCTCTTGACCACGACACAATGGCAATGAAGAGTTGGAAGCTGTCCACTCAAAATACTGGCTCTATGTTTCTCTACTAGAGAATGTGACTGATAATAAACATTTAATAAGGATTCAGTTGATTCAAGAAGATTATTTGAAGATTCTCTCCCTTGACACTGAGTGAAACAAGTAAGGAGTTAAGGAAGAACATTCCCAGATTTCTAGATTTGCTCTTTCTGTTCCACCAGATGCAACTTCCTTTTCCCTTTCACTTTCAAAATTTTCCTCTAAACTCCTTGGATACACTTTAGGACATCTCCTTAAAGATGCCTGGAATTGACACCACTTGAATACACCAAAGCTTCAATATGTTGCTAATGTAGTACTTTTGAGGACAAAAAACCCAACAGCTATACACCCCCACTATGGCCTGAAAAAAAAAAAAAAACCCTCAAGTTTCAATTTGGCAGCTTTCTTCCTTTTACACTCCCTGAGCTGCCTGGGTGAGGACCCTAGCCAGAAACAATCCTAGCCCAAAAAGAGGCAAAAGAAGCACATGCATCTGAGGGGTGATAATCTATGAGGAAAGAATTAGCATTAAACACTCTGTAGAAATTAGCACTGAGTGAGGACCACTCAAAAAATCTCTAATTCTCCATGTTTATCCTCAACTTCCTCACTTTTGTATTGCCTTTGACCCAAATAATTGCCTAGGGGAATAACATTTATAAATAATCAACATTGTTATGTTTTAATGCCAGACACACATCTGATGCATCTCTCTAGTTTCCCAGAGTATGCAGCACATCATTTTGAAAATAATCTGGTGGTTTAAAAACAGTGATTGACCAACAGCTAATGAGCAGTACGCACTATATATTAAGAATATAATTAGATTACATAATTGTCTATAATTTCCTGATTAAAACTTCTTGATGAGGGGCACCTGGGTGGCTCAGTGGTTGAGCGTCTGCCTTCAGCTCAGGGCAGGATCCTGGAGTCCCGGGATCGAGTCCCACATCGGGCTCCCTAGAGGGAGCCTGCTTCTCCCTCTGCCTGTGTCTCTGCCTCTCTTTCTGTGTCTCTCATGAATAAATAAAATCCTTTTTAAAAAAAACTTCTTGATGATTCCCCAGTGCATATTTCAGGGTTTCCCAAACCATGTCCTGAGAAACAGGAGATACCTTCTCAAACAAGTCTGCAGTCAGATACTACAGACATGCTATTCAAGAGCTATCCCATATAAAGAATCCAAGAGGCTTTGTAATAAATATCTGCTTGTCTCATTGGGTGCCTCTCAAATGTGACCATTGAGTGACCACAGAAAAACCTCCACATCTTTCTTCAGTCCCTATCCTTACTCTCCCTGTCACCACTCCCAACCTCTCCCATTCCACTCCCCACTGAGGTACCACGCATGCGATCACATCCCCAACAATCTCCAGGGCACTGATGGCTTACGTCTCTGTCTCCCTCTTCTAGAGCATAAAATTCCTAAGCACAGGGACAGTATCTTTCTCATCTTTGTATCCCACTACCTGGCACCCAACAGCCACTGATGTGCTGAATGGAGGAATGACAATGATCCCATGGATCATCATTTCCCACCTCTGCCATCTCAACGGCTAATGGTGGTGCTTAAAGGTGATAATTGGGATTAAAACCAGTTGGTTCTTTCACAGGAGTTAGCAGTTCCTATAAGAAGGTGGGAAGTTGAAAATGCAATCTGACTTGAGATCCAAAGATAATTCAAATGTCCTATTTGGTCAAAAATGTTTACTTCTTCTCCATCTTTTTTTCCCCCAGAAGTCTGTAATCCAAAAATGTGACTAAAATTAG